TCAATGATGAGAGAGAATCACTGATTGGCTGCCTCCTGCACACCCCACACTGGGGATCGAGCTCACAAACCGAGCATGTGCCCTGACTGGGAATCGAACTGTGACCTCCTGGTTCATAGGTTGACATTCAACCACTGTGCCACACCAGCCGGGCCATTACAAATTTTTTTTCAAAATCAAAATGCCAAGTCCTGACCTATGTAGCTCAGTTGGTTGGAGCTCAGTTGGACAACACTCAACCAACTGAGCCACACTGGCCAGAGCTGTTTCTTATTTTTAAGAGCATACATGCAGCACAGTATTCATTAGAATAAACTAGACTGATTCATTTACAAAACTAGCACTCTTAGACACATCTTTCATACACAAGTCTTAGGCACACATGTCTTTGAATAGGCTCTAAATAGCCTAAGACAACTATTTTTAAGTCTTGGCTATTCTTCTGACAATTATTTTCTTATCACTAAATAGTATGTGCATTTTGTAATTTCTTAGTTGACATTTTAGCCATTATCTATTGGTGACCTCTTAGAATAAATGAAGAAATATCTCTTGCTCTTTCTCCTGCTCATCCAATCAAAAAGTACATTCTAAATCAATGTTTCCTAAATAACTTATTCCTTGCAGAGCCAACGTACATAACGTGATTTCTTGTTGGGACAGTCTTTTGTTTCACCTGGAGTTAATTGGTGACTGTTTTTTCACTTGCATATTTTGCTATACATATTTTCTTAATTGTTCTTGAGTGCTTTTTCCTGTAGGAACATTCTTTCTGGAGTTCTTCCAGTTTCTTGCTTAGTGTGGATTGTTTTCTCTCTCAGCCTGCTGTACAGTGGGCCTGTTACAGGACAGGGGATCTGGCCCTGAGCTGGTTTGCGAGGGGCCGGCAGGTAGTGTGTGGGTTCTTGACTTTGTGCAGGAAAGATTTCATAAGACAAGTCCAAGTGACTTTGAGGGTACATTTATTAAAGTTGGGGACAGTGAAACAAGGAAGGCCTTAGCATAGAAGAAGCAACAGGAGAGCCTAGGTTGGGCTGCTTTAGCTCACTGGGAAGTCAGAGAAAAGAGCCCTGGAGACAGGGTCAGGGGATTAGTCCAGGGCGAGCTGCTGCTGCTTCCCTGGTTACAAGTCCTGTGGGGTCCCTGAGAGTTTAGGAGATGCGTGTTTGTGGGGGAAGAAGATGGGCAAGAGCAAAGGCATGGGTGTGCTCCCGGGAGGGAAAGTGAGTCTTTAGGGTTTTTATCTCTCCCTTGCAAGTGGGAATCTTAGGGGAGGTCTCAAGGGAGGCTTTCAGCAGAATATTCATCAGTTTTCCAGGTGTGCTCTTTCAGGCTCATGGGCTCTACTGATTGGTCAGCGCCAGAGCTGGGGGTCATTGGTCATTGCAGCTGGTCCTAGAGTTGCCCACCTGGTTTTGCTACTTTTCTGGGCCTAGAGCTGAAATACAACTGAGGCCTAGATGTTATCCCTAGGGAGGTATCTGGCTGTAAATTGCTCCGCCAGTTTGTTAAGCTGTCTCATTTTCCCCATCCCACTTGCCAAGAAGTTTTCCTAGCTTCGTACTATCCTGCCTCACTCTATACCTCTTAATAACTGTGTGACCACAGACAACTAACTTCCATTTCCCAATCTATCAAATAGAGATAATAAATACCACCCCATCAAGTTGCTGTGAGAATTAAATGAAACAGGATATGACTGTCACAGAGCACCGTGGCAGGCACCAGAAAACACTCGATGCATTATCGTTCAAGCCGACCTCAGCAGTAGTAGTAGATTTATAAAGTTTCTTTCGGTTCTAAGAGCCCTTAACAGTTCTGTGACTATGGTTTTAATTTTTAAAACCATTAAACTGAATGATAAAGTCAATCAAATGAGTTTTTCAGATAAAGGCTTATAATGGCCTAAGGATTAGTGCATTTACCTCAAGAACACGCACATCTCCCACTGCTGGGATCGAAGGAGTTTGCTCTCTGAGTTTACAAATTTGTGGCTCTAAACCAAACCCATAAGTCTACTCTGGGAATGCATGTTTAGGACAGACATGAATCACCGCCCTGGGCTACTTCTTTATCTTAGAATATTTTAGTAATCTTTTCACCTTGTTGAAGGACAGGATGTTCCAAATCAGTGAATCACTTTTATACATAAAATGGAATGGATGAGGTGATATCAATGAAAATGGTGGAATAAGGATCTCCAAAAATCTTCTCCTCCATAAAAGCAATGAGTACAAAAGCAAAATTTGTCAGAATCAATTGCCTTGTGCCATTTCCCATACCAGGTCGCTTATCCTGCAGGATGCCTAACCTAACTTGTTAATAAATTGTTTTAATTGCATTTCTCTTTACCAAGAGTATAAACCAATCCTTATTAACTCATGGCATCCATTTAAAATGTGTAATTCAAAGGAAATACAATATCACCCAGTGGGGAAAAAACTGGTGTCTCAACTGCTTGCTGCCAAAGCCGACTGCACAATGCATTTATAACTATCTCCTTCCCCCCACACATACACACCTGCACACACATGTACACACACAGAGAGCCAAGAGAAGAGACAATGGCCAACAGAGATAACATATTTTCGAAGATGTGAAGCAGTTAGGAGGAATAGAACCTGACGTGGAGCAGGCTGATTTGCTCCACAGAACCTAAGAGAAGCTCAGGAATTTTAGGCATCGGGCACCTGTGAGATGGAGGTGCGAGTGGAGCTGAAAACAGGATTTGTTGATCGTCTTCTCCCAAGTCCCTTGACCTCATCCCCAGCAGTCAGGTAGCTACCCACCCCACATCCCTGTAGGAAACAGAAGGTTTCATTTATGGGGAGACTGTGCCAGAGATCTGGACTCAGGAGCCCCAGGCACTGTGAGGACAGGGGCCTTTACTGAAGACAGGAATTGAGTGAACGAAACCTTACATATGGTGAGACCTCTAACCCTTCCCCCATTCTGTTCCCAGAACTGGCAACTGGCTTACACCTCAGGCAGGAGGCTAAGGAGTCATTTTGAAGCAACTGATGGGTCCAAGAGAAAAGGCCTACAGATATAAGCAATTATGGGCTACCAAAATTAAAAGCCAGGTCCTCATCACATCCATCTACTGTGAAATCCACCTGGGAACAACCCCCACCTTACTAGTTTCTGGTGGTTGCTGCAACAAATTACCATCTATCTGGTGGCTTAAAACAACAGAATTTTATTCTCTCAAAGTTCTGGAGGCCAGATATCCAAAATCAGTTTCCCTGGGACAAAGGCAAGGTGTGGCAGGGGCATGTTACCTCTGGAGACTCCAGGGGAGAATCCATTCTCTGCCTCTTCTAGTTGTTGGTAGCGGCTGCCTTCCTTGGCTTGTAGCCACATCACTCCAATCTCTGCCTCCATGGTCAACATTGCTTTCTTCTCTTTCCTCAAATCTCCCTCTACCTACCTTTTATAAGGATACTTGTGATTGCATTTAGGGTCCACGAGATAATCTAGGATAATTTCTCCATCTCAAGATCCTTAACATAATCATATCTGCAAAGTTTCTGCCCTATAAGGTAATATTCACAGATTCTGGGGATTTGGACATCTTTGGGAGCCGTTATTTAGGCCATCACACCACCCACATACAGCAAGCTTTCAATCAGCCTTTTAGTTTCTCACACTTTAGTGTTAGTGACATCAAAACTTTTTTACCTTTGTTGGATATCTGAGTTTCTTGCTTTATGAATTATCTATTTGTGGCTTCATCTGTTTTACAATCTACTGGTGTTTTTCCCAGAGATTAAGAGAATTTTAGATAAGGTCACCAGTAACTCTCTATCTGCCACGCATGTTGAACATACTTCTAATTGGCATTTACCTATTAACTTGTTTACAGTTTGTTTTCTAAAATATATTAAAAATATATTAAAATGTTATATAATCTGATATATTTCTTTTCCTTTGTACTTCATCCATGCTATTATGTCAGAAAAGCTGCCTTATCCTAAAATTAGATATATGCTAATATATTTTCTCCTGGTTTTATGGTTTCAAAATTATTTAATTAATCAATATGGAATTTATTTTAATATGTGGTAGAAAGACTCTAACATGTTTTTTCCAAGTTATTTAACAATTGTCTAACACAAAATGTCTCTTCCTTTCCCTATGGATTTCTCCTATCATCTTTCTCAAATATATAAATCTTCTATATCCTAGTGTCTGTTTCTGAGCTCGGTTCAGTTATCTTAATTACTGTTTCAGATGTTTTCTGTATGTCTCCTCCCCCTACCCCCAAGTTTCTAGTTATAAATAAATAACTATAGTCCATCACATTGTTTCAAAACAATTTCATATTTTCTTATCTTTCTAAAGTTTTTATAATTATTTATTTTTTGGCATTCTGCTGGTTACTTATCTAAAAGAGTTCATTTTTATCATAATTCATGTATATGTATTTGGAAACTTTTAGAAACATTTTCACATTTTTTAAAGAAAAGAACCTAGAGATACTTTTTCTTTTTGTTGCTAATAGAATGAGCTATTTGAATATCTCTGATGACTTTATTACTTAGTTAACTCAACGAATACTAGGTGTCAGTCATTTTTCTAGGTACTGGGTATACAGGACAAAAACAAACAACTATCCCCACCTTCATGAAACTTACATTCTAGTAAGGGAGACAGATAAAAACAGGATAGGTCAAACTTTAATGTAGTCAGTGTACCAGCCAGTGATGAGTGCTATGGAGAAAAATAAATAGAGGAAGGGGGACAGGAAATTCTGAACAGGAGACTAGGGATTACCTCACTGAGGTCATGTGAGTCAAGACCTAAAAAAGAAAATTGACACAAATAGCTAACTTACATTTGAAATCCCTAGCATTGCTTCGGATATACTTTATGTATATTTAAAATCAATGATATAATCATTCACGGCTTATCTACTCCAATGAGCAAAATGTTAATCTTGATATATCAAAAGGAATCATTGCATATTTTAAACATCAAATTCACCATGAGTTAAGTGTCTACAACGTACTTACAGGAATGAAGTAGGCTGATGGAAATCTTTGAACTGTAGAACGAAATACAAAGCTCCTATATTTAAAAAAAATAGATATGATTTCCTAAATTTATTTTTTAATGTGAGGATCTTTGTTAATTTATTCCCTATCTCTCATTAAACATTTAAGAATGCTAATCATAATGGGCATAAATGAGGTTTAAAAGCCATTAGTATTGATTGTTAAGTCTGTATATAGAAAGGCATTAGTGAAACGATTAAAAGTAACTTAATAAGTATATAATTACCTGGAAGCATACTTGGGAACTGGCGCAGGAAGTACATTGTATTGTCCTGGTGAAAGCTTAACTGACTATACAGAATGGACAGGACACCAATAATAGATTAATACAGGTCTTAAACTCACTTTATCTTATTATCTGTCATTTATTTTATGAGCATACATTATGTAATTTATTCTTTATTTTAACAGTGGAAATGGCATATTTTCAAAGGTGGAGCTTCAAAACATTCCACAGATATTCACATTTCAAAAACTCTTAGAATGAATCAATAAATTCAGTCAAGTTGCAGGTATCTGAACAAGAAATGAAGAAAACAATCTTATTTGCAATAGAATGAAACACAATAAAACACTTAGAAATAAATTTAACTAAGGCAGTGAAAGATCTGTACACTGAAAACTATAAGAAAGAAATTGAAGCCCAGCCAGTGTTGCTCAGTGGTTGAGCATCAACTCAGGAACAACATATTGTTGGTTCAATTCCTGGTTAGGGCAAATGCCCAGGTTGCAGACTCGATCCCCGGTGAGGGTGCGGCCAGGAGGCAGTCAATTGATGATGTTCCTCTCTCATCAATGTTTCTCTTTCCCTTCCTCTTTCTAAAAAAAAATCAATAAAAACATATTAAAAAAAAAAGAAATAGATACAAATAAATGGAAAGATATCCCCATGTCCATGGATGAGAAGAATTAATACTACTCAAAGCAATGTATAAACTCAATAACATCCCTATAAAAATTCCAACAGCACCCAATCAGTGTGGCTCAGTGCTTGAGCATCAACCCATGAACCAGGAAGTCACAGTTCCATTCCCAGTCAGGGCACATGCCTAGGTTGTGGGCTCGATCCCCAGTGTGGGGCATGTAGGAGGCAGCCAATCAATGATTCTCTCTCAACATTGATGTTTTTATCTCTCTCTCCCTCTCCCTTTCTCTCTGAAATCAATAAAAATATATTTTTAAAAATTCCAATAGCATGTTTCACAGATACAGAAAAACAATCCTAAAAATTTATATAGAACCACAAAAGAGCTTAAAGTCAAAGCAATCTTGAGAAAGGGGAAAAAAAAGCTGAAGGCATCACACTTCCTGATTTCAAACTATATTACAAAACTATAGTCATAAAAACAGTATGGTATTAGCATAAAAACAAATACATAGACCAATGCAACAGAATGAAAGCTCCCCCCTACCTCCAAAGAAACATCCATGCATACACAATCAACTTATCTTGGCAAGGGCACCAAGAATTCACTATGGGGGAAAGAATAGTCTCTTCAATAAATTGTATTGGGAAAACAGGATATCCACATGCAAAAGAATAAAATTAAACCCCTATCTTATATCACTCATAAAAATTGACTCAAGAAGGACTGAATACTTAAATGTAAAACTTGAAGCCACTAAACTCCTAGAAGAAAACATAGGGAAAACTCTTTGACATCAGTCTTAGCAATAATTTTTTTTAATATAACACTAAAAAGAGGAAAATAATTCTAATGCATCAAAAGCAAAAATAAAGCAGTAGGAAGACATCAAACTAAAAAGCTTCTGCATAGCCAAGGAAACAATCAACAAAGTGAAAAGGCAACGTAAGCAATGGGAGAAAGTATTTACAAACCATGCATCTGATAAGGTTTTAATATCTAAAATATATAAGGAACTCATACAACTCAATAACCAAAAAATAATCCAATTAAATTGGGCAAAAGACCTGAATAGGTATTTTTTTCAAAGAAAACATACAAACACCCAACAGTTACATGAAAAGGTGCTGAAACACCACTAATCATCAAGGAATGCAAATCAAAACCACAATGTGATGTCACCTCACAACTGTTAGGATGGCTATTATAAAAAAGACAAGCGATAACAAGTATTGGTGAGGATGTAGAGAAAAGGGAACCCTTGTGCACTGTTGTTGGAAATGTAAAATGGTACAGACATTATGAAAAAAAGGTTTCTTGAAATATTAAAACTAGAAGAATTACCATACGATCTTGCAATTCCACTTCTGAGTATATATCCAAAGGAAACAAAATCAGTATCTGGAAGAGACATCTGCACTCCCACGCTCAGTGCAGCATTATTCACAATGGCTAAGCTATGTAAACAACCTAAGTGTCCCTTGATGCATGAATGGAAAAGAAAATGTGATATATAAATAACTGAAAAATATATTTTGATAATTCAGCATAAAAATGGAAGGAAATCCTGCCTTTTGCAACAACATGCATAATGCTAAGTGAAATAAGCCAGACAGAGAAAGACAAATACTGTTTTGTATCACTTATACGTGGAATCCAGAGAGCCTGTACTCCTGACTAGAGAGCCTGTACTCCTGAAGGAATAGAATGGTGGTTGCCAGGGCGGGAGGGGAAAGAATGGTGGTTGCCCAGGGCTGGGGTGGAGATGGGGGGTTGGTCAAAGTGTACAAAATTTCAGTTATAAGCTAAATAAGTTCTGGGGATACAAGGTACAGCATGATAACAATAGTTAATAATACTGTATTGGTATACTTGACATTTGCTAAGAGAATAGAGCTTATATGTTCTCATCCATACACATAAAGATAACAATGTGAGGTGATGGATATGGTAATCAACTTGATTGTGGTAACCATTTCACAATATATTCACAATCAAATCATCATGTTGTACACCTCAAATACATATAATTTTGTCAATTATACATCTATAAAACTGGGGGTTCTGAAGGTGGTGAAGACAAAGAGATTTGAGGGTTTTAAGGAAGAGGAACTTCCTAGAGGGGAGCCAGGAAGGTATTCTAAGGAGAAACATTGCAGAAGAGACTGTCTCTCTGCCCATTGTCAAACTTGCTGCAAAACTACCTGGTGGATCCATCATCCCCGGGTTATGGATTTTAGCTCAGAGGTGCATGAGTAAGGGAGTAGAAGGATCCGGTAAGCACAGAGCTTGGGATATGTAAGGGAAGGGAAGGAGAGGAGGAAGCCGAATGAGAAGCCAGGAAGACTGACCCAACCTCCAGAACTCCTATTGAAGGAGCTGGTAGGAAGCAATTATATTATAAAATCCTAGGAAGAATCCTTCCCAAAGTGAGCAATCTACTCCCTACCTTCTATTATTTTAAAATCAGATTTAAAAATGCAATGCTGCCTTTTTAAATTTTATCTTTAAATCTTTATTGTTGAAAGTATTACATATGTCCCCACTGACCTCTTCTAGCTTGCCCCCGCTGCCCATCCCCTCTACCCCCCACCCCCACCCCAGGCCTTCAAAATAAGGCATCCATATGCTGGCACTCTATGCCCCATGGAATCTCAGCTAATACAGCTCACCCTGTTGCTTTCATTCACATATTAGTACCCAATTTTGAGTGTATAGGCAGATGTTGTCGATACACTAAAAATAGCAGTAAATACAAATTTTATGATAAAATGCACACATTGTCCTGATGCACCTGTGCCTTGTTCATTGTTCACTTGACATTAAATAAACACCCAGGAAACAAGGGTATTATTTATTATTCTAGTGTGGAAGCAGGAAAATGTATTTTAAGCAGGGGGCTTTGGGGGCTGCAACATCCTATTTCTTGACTTTGATGATGGTTATATGGGTGTTTGCTTTCTATTTACTTTAAATAATGCATGTATGCTTTATATGCTTGCTCTTGCATGCTCGCTTACTCTCTTATATACATATACACACATACTCAGAAGGAGAAAGAAGAAAGAGAATTGAAAAGTGAAGAAGAAAAAAACACCCTTAAAGCAGCTGTTTATCTATGTATACTCAGCAATCACATAGAGTTTCTATAAAAAAGTACTTATGGAAAAACTCAGACAGCACTAGATTAGAAAGGAATATTGGTTCCCTGTAGCTTCTGTATTTGTCTTACTTTACTTGGCTTGGCCATTCTTTGCTATTTAGTATTACTGAGAGAGGGCTTTTTTTCCATAAAGTTGTGAATAGTCCGCTGCCTTATGTAAAAGACTGTTTCTCTGCACATTGTTGCAAACTATTCTGGGTGGCTCCACTGTCCTTGGAGATTTTTAATATACATATATATTTTCCTAATTCCTACAGATGCCTGTCACTTCTTCATTTGTAATGAGGCACAAAGAATCTAGACAATGTGCTCATAAAAATACCTGATTCTAGTTAATGTTTCAGTCCATGTAGATTAGGCACTCGGAAATCTTGCAATAGCTTGTAGCCATACAATATGACAGGATGATATTAGTATGGATACTTCATTCAGTTCTGTTGTACCAACACCATCAAGGTCAGAATAAGTGAAAAAATCCAACCCTACTTATTAGGCTCTTGGTATGACAACATTTTGAGAACCAAATCCATAAATAGGTGGGACAGAAGGAAACAGATTTTTTCAATGTGTTCAAGCCCTGTCGGAATGACCATAAGGTGAATGCAGCCGAAGGGCTGGCAGGTGCAGTACTTTGCAGGTATTATTGGCAGAAATTCAAGTGTATCTTTTCTCTGAGAAGTAAAGTCTTTTGTGTCGTATGGAAGTATCACTGACTCACTGCTCAGACTTCTTTATGGAATGAGAGATAAACAATATAGGACCTTCTCAAAAAGAAGTCTGCTTAATGATACCAATTATATTGTTCTTTTTATTTTTTTAGGTTATCCAATATCTGATTTTATTCAGTCTTCCATGTAGACAAAATCATATACTGTGCAACCTTGTAGAGTCACTTCAGACTTCTTTGGTTTATCCTAGGAGATTTTTTATTCAAACACTGCTATGCACTCCTGACATCCTTGGAGCTGAGATGGTGAGCTTGATCTCAGATAGCAGAAAAGACTTAAGCAGGAAAGAGTTAAGGAGGCTCCAAATGAACTAAGAATTACAGTGGGTCCCAATCCCTGAGATAAATTTTCTGTAACCATCTTTCAAAATCCTTTTGCATTTGCCACTTTCTTGACATATTTGCATGTGACACTTGTTCTTTGAGAATTCAGTTTCAAAAATATCTGCTAAATGAGCCAATTTTTAGGGTCACTTTTTTAATTTAAATGGTGTTGGTACAATGAATTGCTCCATCTTACCTATGTTTTGCTCTTTATTATCTCAACATTTAAGTTTTGAGTTCCTTACAGTATCACTTGCCAGCCCAGTTAATACCTTGCTCAATGAAAAACCATCCTGTTGAAAATCCCTTTGGTGGTACCGTGGAGCACTTTCAGATTAACATGATTTCAGAGATATCTTTACCACAGCTATAAACATAGCTAACAAAGGTCAATGAGCTGGCAAGATCCGGTGCAAAGACCCTGAGTTGGGAGTGGCCAAGTCAGGAAGCTTCCAGGAGGCCAGTCGGGCAGAAAGAGAGGGAGAGGGAGGAGTAAAAGAGGAGGTCTGGAATAAAGCCAGTCCCCAACAGAACTGCTGACTCTGAGAACGACCACTCAGAGATCACACCCACTATTGCAAAGACTTAAACCCAGTGGTTCCCAATCAGGAGGGGGGTGCCCCCGGGGGACATTTGGCAATGTCTGGAGGCAGTTTTGGTTGTTACAACTGAGAGGGGGACTGCTATTGGCATCTAATTAGCTAATGGCATCAATTATCCAGGAATGCTGCTAAACATGCTACAAAGCACAGAACAGTTCCCCACAACAAAGAATTATTCCTTCCAAAACGTCAATCGCGCCCAAGTTGAGAAACCCTGAATTAGACATATAAGTGGAGAAGTTAAAAAAAAAAAAAAAAGCAGTTGGATATACAAGTCTGGAATTCAAGAGAGGAGTCTGGGCAGGAGATATAATTTGGAAATCATAAAGAGATGGTGTTCAAAGCCGAGACTAAATGAGATCACCAAAGGAGTGAATGTAGAGGGAGCAAGTGTAGAGGAGGAAGAGGTCTGGGGCCTGGGGCACTCCCACAAGAGGTCAGGGAGAAGGGGCTGAACCTGAAAAAAAGGCTGAGAAGAAAAAATGAGGAGGATTGAGGTGGAGGTGTCAGGGATTTGGAAAGGAGAGATGTGAAATAAAGCCACCCAGGAGAGTGGGAGGTAAACAGACTAGGGAAGTCCATCCAGTGCCCATGTGAGGTGAAGACTATAAAATGAGGCCAGTCATTCCGCAACATGGATGCAGGTACAAAGTCCCCAGAGAGTTAGATTTACCCAGGTTTGTGGCTTTGACAAACAAGTGAGATATGCCATCAGGAGCAAGGGAATTGAGGGCGTATGCTGAGAGTAACTCTGATGACTATGGGATTTAAGCTTTGCAAGTAGGATCAATGGATTATAGATTGTGGGGAACAGAAAAATTGGGGGGAGGAGGGCTGGGATACTAGAGTGAGTGAGGCAGAACATTAGGAGTGGTCAGAGTAGGGTGCATGCAGTTGAGATTATGCAGGGTTGAAATTATTGGTCTTGAAAAAATCCAAGGAGTGAGTAGCTGAGGTAGAGGAGAGTTCAAGAAACTGAGAAGGGAGATTGTTGGAAGGTCATCTGCATGTGTACTGAAATGATGACAGGAGTAGTGGCAAGGGCGGCAGGGAGAGAAGGGAGCTAAAATCATCCAGAAATAAGTGGGAGTAACCCTGAGGTTAGTGGATGACAGCAACATTGGGGAGAAGCAGGTCACAAGCTGTGTATATGGAGAGAGATGGTCCCACTTTTGTACGTATAATTCTACAACAAAAACGTATTGATTCTCTAATAAGAAAAATTTATTTTAAAAAATTTAGGGCCATCTCAAATACTCTTTTTTATCAATTAAATTTATTGGAGTGACACGGATTATATAGGTTTCAAGTGTAGATTTCTATGATATATAATCTGTATATTGCATTGTGTGCCCACCACCCATAGACAAATTAGACAAATTATCTTCTGTTCCCATATATTTGGCCCCCTTTATCCTTTACTACCCCCAGCCCCCTTATACACACACACACACACACACACACACACACATTCAAATATATCTATAATAATAAAAGCATAATATGCAAATCGACTGAATGGCCGAACAGCAATACGACTCTCTGGACGACCACACTATGACACCCATGGCACCAGGCCAGTCAAGGAGGGTGTGATGTGATTGGTTGGGGGCCCTGCCATTGCCCCATGATCGCCCCTCAGAGGGAGGCCCTGGCTACCTGGCCAGCGGTTCTGCAGTGGGTGAGCGGGGCCTCCCTCTGCAGGGTGATTGATCGTGGGGCTCCCAGACTGAGAGAGGGCACAGGCCAGGCTGAGCATTCCCTCTCCCCCACAGTGCATGAATTTTGTGCACTGGGCCTCTAGTATATGATAGAATTCTTTGATACAGGTTCTCTAGTTGAGTTACATGCTTCCAAACAAAAATAGTAAAAACTTTCTTACAAATAATAAACAGCCTTAATGAGGTATAAAGTGAATATTCTATTAAAAATTCTGAAGCTTGAGAGAATGTTGCTCTATCTTAATAAGTAATAATATTAATATATACTATATCTACCTCAAATTATTCAAATTATTATTTTACTGAATTCTGCCATTAAAAAACCAGAATTATGAGTTTTATTGGTGAGTAAACAATGTTACATCTGGGTAGCTCTCCTTCTGTGAACATACCGTCATAGACCTTTGAAACAGAAAATTAGGAAAACATGTAATTCTCCCAGTTTCTGGAGCTCAATCCTTTGTGGGAGGTGGGGAGAGAGAGAAGAAAGAAAAAAAAACACAGGAAAAATATGTTTTCAGAAGGTTTTGTCCACCCCTGTGGGTAAGCCAAATTCTTTTGGTCTTTTAAAGCCTTAAATTTTGCCTAATACCAACCTTCTGTGTTTTCTCTTCAACAATGAGCCTTGGCCTACCCTCAGAAACCCCTAAAAGCAAGACAAGATGAAGCAGAAGGGAAGTAAATGGTGGTGGAGAATAAGGAAGAATGGTTATGCCCTGGACGTGGCCAGAATTATTTCACATGAAGCATGGTGACCTGATACCAAGCCATAAAAGTCTAAGTAAAATTTAGTGTTTGTATTCATCCACTGAAGTGAATAGGATAAGACTTACCCAGTGAACTTTTATCATTCTGCCCTGTTCCAAAGCTATAATTTGCAAAACAATAAGATGGGTTTACTGGTTGCGTACAACATGCGCTCATCCCAGGGAAAAATTCTCATTCATCCTAATAATCGCTACAACCACTGTATTTAACTCAACTTCCAGTTACAATGCATTTCTGCTCAGCAACACTCTGATAGGGTTGTGAAGACTAATACTATTACTAGCTTCCTTATAAATAGGAGATATTAAGGCCCAAAGTCCCAAGTAACAAAGTCCAAGTCACAACTCAGTCCCTGGAAGAGGCCTTAACAGTGCTGTGCCCCTCCCTGGAGACACAGCTCTTGGGTTCCACCCATCCAAACCCTGCCCCTTATTCATGGCCAGAGGCCCAGGGTAGTTGGAAAGAGCGCCAAATTGGGGACCAGAAGCCCTCAGTTAAAAGTACTCCTCTGCCACTGAACAAGTTACTTAGTCTATTCACCTCAGTTTATGTGCATGTAAAATGGAGCGAACATCTGTTCTGCCTATTTCAGAATGCCTGGGAAGAACTGCTAATAGAATATATGTAGAAGTTCACAGTAAACTATTAAGAGCCACATAAGTGCCATGTATTATTCAAGGTCTAGTTTGAGTCCTACTTCATCCAGGGAACCTTCCAACTTTTCAATCCAGCCTACACTGAACTCTCCTCTGGGATTTCCTGCTACACTATTTATCATCATCAGGAAACTGATGATTTATCTCAGCATTTGATATATTTGCTCTTGCATTGTTACTTAAATATTTGCAAGTCAGGGACATCTTCCGTTCACAGAGCCTGGCACAGAGCCATAAGCATAGCAATTATTATCGATGTTATGAATGAACTGGTGGACCTGAGAGTAGAATCTTACCTTCCTGGTACCACAGTGCTCATTTCTACAAGAAATTTTGGGAAAAGCTTCCCTGTGGCATATGGTTATGTTCACGCTCTAATAAGGGCCCACACTCACTGAAAGGCAGAGTTTTCTTTTTAAAAGAAGAGAGTACAGCCCGGCCGGCATGGCTCAATGGTTAAGCGTCGACCTGTAAACCAGGAGGTCACGGTTCGATTCCCCGTCAGGGCACATGCTCAGGTTGTGGGCTATATCCCCAGTGTGGGGGGTGCAGGAGGCAGCCAAATCAATGATTCTCTCTCATCATTGATGGTTCTGTCTCTCTCTCCCTCTCCCTTCCTCTCTGAAATCAATAAAAATATTTTTTTAATCTTTATATATAAAAAAGAGAGAGTACACTGTGTAAACTGCTTGAAAAGACCAGAAGCATGGGCCAACCACAGATAAGATCCCAGAGGCTCCCCCAGTTGGGGGAATCCTGCCAAGATTCCCTCCAGAGCGAACAATCCTCCGCCGGCCCCCCTCCCCCGTCCTCTCCTGAGGTTAAGGAGGCCTCAAAAATCTTGCAGGACATATTTGCAAATTAGGCAGCCCTTGTTTGATTTCTGCAGAAAATAAGGCATCCTAAAGATTGCTACTTTGTCCCTGGGGAGATACACTCAAAGTTTTATAGACTATTTTCCTCCAGGCTCTTGGTAGCTTTCCCACAAAAACCCAGCTGCTAGTAGGGCTTTACCTGATCTCTGTAAACCAAGGAGCTGGGGCTTGACCGCGGTTGGTCTTTAAATGAGTAAGTGGCTGCTTGCTTCTTCAACAAGTCCAAGAAGCCGGGAGGCATGTACGGGGGAAGGTCCGTTACTACTGGATTGTTTCTTTGCACAAGAGGTGGTTTTTTCCTTCCTTCGTTTTTAAAATTGTAAGTTGCTCTCACTGGATTTAATAGGGATTCTTCAATAAAAGTTTTCAAGTGGTAAGTGCCAGGGATAGGAGTATTCTGTGGAAAATTGACATCGTTTTTTCACATCAGTGTGTAAACCAGCAACATCTCCAACAGCAGCATTCTTGAAAGGGTCATTCCTAAGCAGCATCTCTTAGTTTTACAGTTTAATAAAATTCTATTAAAATACAGTAAACACTCTGGGCAGAACAATAGTTTAAGAGAATCATGATTATTTCCTTTCTGAGACAGCTGCTGAGTAATAGCCAATGGGTTATGGCTATAGTTGAAGTTTTTTTCTTAAAAAGTAGCTTCACAGATACTTAAACTTGAGATTCAACTTGGTTATAAATTTCAGGCCTCTAGTGAGACCTGAAATTTAGTTTCTTGGCTAAATAAACGTTATCCTACTTCTGCTTAGTAGATGCTACATGTTTCTGTCTAGCCCTTAAATGAGAAGCTACAAGATAATAACAGGAGGCGGAGGATGAATTGGCAGAGCATTTTGTCTAATTAGTCCAATAAGGGGTTGGGTACTTTCAAATCCCAACCGCAATGTGGCTACATGGCCAAACCTGAAGGTTTAGTCACTGCTGCTTTTGTGGCCATCTTTCCACTGAGCACTCAGCTCAGTGCCACTGTTACAATGAGTTCAATTCCAAGAAGGCTTTGGCCCATGGGGCCCTTCTGTTATTGCAGGGCGTGGATGGGAAACATTTCTGCAATATAGAAATGTCGTCTCCTGAGAGGGGGATCTTCTGGTCATTTTACTACCTTGCTTTCATATGCTGACCATGTTAACTAATAAAAGTTATCATAGGCTCTGTGCTAAGTAAGATAAGAACTGAAACCCAAAAACCTCTCAGGAATGTATGCCTTATCTTTCTTGTGTCCTCTTACCAAGTTCATAAACTAGGTGGATCTTACCTCGATATTTTGTAACACAAATAGATTTCTAGAGTTGATTTACTTTTCCAAGCTTTTAAATTGAAATTTTAGTTTCTCATTCACATGCTGATGCTAAAATTATAAGGATGAAATAAAGCCTACTGTTTTCTTACGAATTGTTAGTGATTTAAACGGTAAGACTGACTTAATCAAATGTTAATGGGAATAAGAATAATATGAATGAAAATGTACATACTGTTAATGATACTCTCCACCATCCTTCTCTTTCAAAAGATGATCGCTTCCGGATTGGTTTCTATTAACAAACATAAAATATGTTTATTCATTTGAGAGGTGATCCCTGGAAGTCAGACATAACTTATAAAATATTTACTTAAATTAGTTAATACCTGCACCAAATTTATCAGTCTGAATTCAAATAAAAACACTGCTATCCATTTTGCCTGTAATAGTTCTTTAAATTGCTATGTTATTATTTTAAGTGCTTTTTAAATATCTAAATTCCCTTTGGGAAAATTAGAACAATAAACATCCCCATGTGACAGAGGTGCCATAAGGATAATTAGATGTGACAAAATTTGGTGTTCTTGGGAAGAAAGGAGTTATGTAAATCAAAATTGTATTATTGTAATTGTTATTAAGATTTATGGTTCAGTCCTTCTGTCCACTTTAGTGGGTAAAGAGAGCTCATCCTCAGAAGAGGATAACCTGGGGGACATGGCACATTTTGATGCCAAGAACTGTGTAATATTATTCCCTTAGGTGTTTTGGAGGCTTTAGAAAACCTAAACTTAAAAGAAAGAAATGAGCTTCCACCCCTTCCTCTTTGATGAGGTCCCAATTCGTAGACAATGCCCTCAGCGCTGTATTTGTCAATGACAGTGAACAGTTATCTTGAGTTTGTTTGGTGACTGTAATTTCAGGTCTGTTGCTATGTCGTGTCCATTAGGCAGCAATGCAGGGGTGATCTCTGCTTCCTGTACCCTGACATGCAAAGGGCTCTCCTAGTACTCCACATTCAAACTGAAGAGGAAAATTGAAATCCCTAATGAAGCTACTATGTGCATTTATGAGTATTAATGAATAAAAACTGCTTGAATGTTTTACCCTAAAAAAATATGTGTGGTTCAGGTGCTTGTGCTGGGAACTCAAGGTCAAAATGTGTAGTCATCAGATTAATGTGATATTGAGATACAAATTCCTGGAGATATGGCAAACATTGCCAATTTCTATTTCCTAGGTTCACGTACATTAAAAAAAATATATCATAAGTATGATATAGCTAGTTCTCTCAGTTTGTCCAGCTAGCTGTCACACTGAAGAGTCAGAGTGATAGAGGAGCCAGACAAACTTGGGCTTGAACTCCAGCTCTGCCACTTACTAGCTAAAGAGCACTAGGCAAATTACTTTGGCCCTTATGAGCCCCCACTTCCTCTTAGGAGGATAAAAATAAGGCATCAGGGATGGACATAGACAGTAGGGGGGTGAGGGCATGTGCTGGGGAGTGGGAGCGGCTGGGGAGAGGTCAATGGGGGGAAAAGGAGGCATATGTAATACTTTAAACAATAAAGAATTTAAAAAAATAAGGCATCAGAGGTTGGCACGAGCATAAGGCATCTATAATAATAAAAGCGTAATATGCTAATTAGACCAGACAGCCAAACGACCTTCTGGACGTCATAATGGACTAAGCCAGGGTGGCGGGGGCCAAGGCAGAGAGGGTTAGGGGTGATCAGGCAGGCAGGTGAGCAGTTAAGGGCGATTGGGCAGACAGGCAGAATGGTTAGGGGCGATCAGGCAGGCAGGCAGGCGAGCAGTTGGGAGTCAGTGGTCCCAGATTGCGAGAGGGATGTCCAACTGCCAGTTTAGGCCTGATCCCGGATTGCAAGAGGGTGCAGGCCGGGCTCAGGGACCACCCTCCCATCCCCATGCACGAATTCTGTGCACCGAACCTCTAGTTGTACATATAAACACTTGCACCAACAACCAGTGCTCAATAATAAATGGTAGCTCTTATTTTTAACATCTCATCTGCCAAGTTAAGAAGCAGATTATTTTGGTATTCTTCAGTTTCCAAGGACACTCTTGTCTTCCATAAGTACTCTATACTCTTTTATTTTTCCACATTGATTCAGCTTCACTGTTAACAGAACACAATTGTTCAGTGTTTCCTTTGGTGTTATTCCCACTAAGTAAAATCATTAAAATATTGATTTCTACTTTCATTTATAATGTTTTTGTTATTAGTACAAAATATCGGTTATCTCAAACAACAATACATTAAAAATAATCATCAAATTAGCAAAACTGATATAATTCATTGTTCCTGTCTAGCAATTTATATCTATTCTACTTATGAGTACCCCTGGCTTTGGTTTTACTATGTAATATGTGCACTTCTCTAAGAAAAACCTTGTTTCATACACACTAATCTGAACTTCTTTTGATCTATTGCCTTTGTTAGATTAATACTGAAAGTTCTCTGTTGCACATTTATAGTCACAGAAATCGAACTTTCCCAGGCATGTCAAGACAGGTCTCCTACCTCTACCTGGGCCAGGAAAATGAGTTGGGAAGGACAAGAGAAAAGTAAACATGATATATATCCAAAAGAAGGTGACTGGCAGCTGCTGTTTTGTTTTGCTCAAGGCAGGTGATCTAAACTCCACCCATCTACCACTTCAAATTCGCTTTAGGGTGAATCACTTTACAAAAGATAGGCTAAACATCCTTAGCCCAAATTTAAAAACTAAACAAAGGTAGTTTAAAATATTTTATAAATACTAAACTCAAAAACGTGTTCATAGACTGAAAACAATAACAGAAACATTCTCTCGTTAGAGGAAAATGAAAGAAATCTAATCACTCTATTAAAGCAGTGGTCCCCAGCATTAGTAGTAGGGAAGAAGAGGGAAGATACAGATAACAAAGGGCAATCGGGAGGATGAAGGAGTAGCAAGGGCAGAGGAAATAAAATGAAGTAGAACTCAAAGGTCAGAAGAAAGGACTACAAGGTGGTAAGAAGAGAGAGAGGAGAGAGAACAGGAGGGTTGCAAAGGCCTGGGACTAGAGGTGGCATTTTGGCGGAAGAGAGGGGCGAAGGGGACCTGTAGTTGGGCGCGTCAGAGGGGCAGTACCGAGGCCAGGACCACTGAACCGCCTTCCCCCAAGTCTTCCCTTACTGGGGTAGAAGTGACCGCCTTATCTGGCTGGTCCATTGCGACCTCCGCAGTGGAGTCCTGTTGCCAGGAGACTCGGGGAGGGGGAGGGGGACTGCGTTCGCGCATGTGCAGGGGCCCCCGCCAAGTCTTCCTCCAGTGGGGGAGGGGAGGCGGGCACACGTTTTGAAGTCCTGCGCTTAGCCTTGGGCACGCACACGTGCGGAATCGCCTGAAAGCCTTCAGTTATCTGCACCAATATTTTTAAATTTTATTTATTTTAAAGAGAGACAGAGAGACAGAAACAGAGAGACAAGAGACAGACACACACTCCTGTAGGGCTTGGGAACGATGCTCTAACCAACTGAGTACCCGGCCTGGGCTGCGCTGAGACTTCTAAAGGCGGTTTGTAGCCCTAACCGGTTTGGCTCAGTGGATAGAGCATCGGCCTGCGGACTGAAAGGTCCCAGGTTCGATTCCGGCCAAGGGCATGTACCTTGGTTGCAGGCACATCCCCAGTAGGGAGTGTGCAGGAGGCAGCTGATCCATGCTTCTCTCTCATCGATGTTTCTAACTCTCTATCCCTCTCCCTTCCTCTCTGTAAAAAATCAATCAAATATATTTTTTAAAAAAATAATAGCATATATTATATGTTTAAAAAAATAAAATAAAATAAAGGCTGTTTGTAAAGGCTTGAACATACCATGATCGCCATCAGCCCTTTTGCTAATCACCCCCACTTCCATTCTTTCAGAAAAAGGGACAGAATGCTTGATAGGCATACCTAGCTTTAAAGCAAAAATCAGCATTAGCACCCACTTTCTGAGATCCTTTCTAAGCTCCTCCCGATGGAAATTCTGTAGGTGTCACTTCTCTAGCCTAACTTTGGAAGTGGTGTAAGCACTAGACCCAACAGGATTCACTGAGAAACCAGACCGCCCTTTCCTACCAGTATAGACCCTTTCACTTTCAACCTCTTTTGATGTAGCATCTCAACCTATAAACATTCTCATCTTTAAAAACAAACCCTCCCCTCAACCTTAATAATTCCATTTTGTGGAGTACCTGTGTTCCATATACTTCACAAACATAAATTTAATTAATCCTCACAATAACCCCGTGAAATAGGCATTAATCCCATTTTAAGAATGAGGAGAGGCTTTGTTGGACAGTGTCCTCAGCATCATACAGCAGTGGCAGAGTTCAAGTCCAGGTCTGATTCCAGTGTCCCACTGTCCAAACCACCATGAAGTTTCTGCTCCCTTTTATAAACTTTCAAGAGTAGACTCAATTCTTTCACCTCCCATACTTTCCTAAAACATCTTAATCTGACATGCACACACACCTTTCCATTAAAATTGCACTTGCTAAACTAACCAATGACCCAATGGCCAAACACAATGGGCATTTTTCAGCTCTTAACTTGACCTCCATTTGTCACTGCTGCACTCCCTCACTCTTGAATCCCTCTCTACCAGAACTTGAGGGTTAGGGTGAGCATTGGCTGCATTTGCTGTGATTTGTGCTTCTTTGTCTATAAAGGTGATAAACTGGTACTTCCCCACAAGGTGATTATGATTAACTTGAGTGAAATGTTTGGAACCATGTTTGGCACAATGTTTTCAGTAAATATGGACTATCATTACCTTTAGGACAAAAACAACATTTACAATCGTCTCCTTCCCCTCATCAGAAGCTCATGCTTTGATGTATGGAGTTGACCTTTGAACACAGGATTAGGGGTGCCAACCCCAAGCCACCGAAAATCCATGCGTAATTTTTGACTCCCCAAAATCTTAACTACAGTCCCTTGGTATCCATAGGGGATTGGTTCCAGGGACCCCCATGGATACCAAAACCCTCAGATGTTTATGGCCCTTATATATAAAATGGCTTAGAATGATACATACAACTGGCTCTCTGCATCGGTGGATGTGAAACACAGGAATATGAAGTCTATACATTTTTGGGGGAAGAAAGTGTTAAGTGGACCCACCCTGTTCAAACCCATGTTGTTCCAGGGTCAGCTGTACTTGTAAACGCCAAATATGCCATTTTCACACTTCTAAGGTCTCCCATATGCTAGCCTTCCTTTGACAGCCTGGTACAGCCTCTCAAAGGTCAACTTCTCTGAGAAGTCCCTTGGCTTAATCCCTCGTAGCCCAAAGGGACCCTGTGCCTATCTTTATTGGAGGACTCATTGTGATAAATTGTTCCCAATTTTAAACATATCCAAAACACAGGTTTTATCTTCTGAGCCTTTGAATATAGGATGAAATTACTGAATAACCAGTTTTCCTCTCTATAAATTTAAATAGGATAAACTACAGCAGTGCTTTTAAAAAATTAATGTACACAAATACCAGGGCATTTTGTTAAAATACACATTAATTCAGATTCTGGGCAAGGGTAAAGATTCTGCATTTCTAAGAAGCTTTCGGGTGATTCTATGGGCAACTTGAGTAGCAAGAGACTAGAGAACTCCATTTTTCTTAAAATAATGGGATTCTAAATTCATTTAATATAACCTTAAAAAATATAGAAGGGGAAAAAATAACAACCAGGCACGAGGTTTGAAATCAATAATTATAAGGCCAAGAGGCAAGCAAAAACCAATTTTCACAAATGTAAGATTAATCAAGTCCATCACTGTGATTCATTTCATTTTCTTCAAGAAAATTGCTCAGCAGACTAGGGACTGGTACCCTAGAGACTAAAATATGATGAAAGGTACAGAGAAGTCCAGAAACCCACACAAGGGAACATCTAGAAGAGAAAATAGCTTGAGTATACCAAAAATAGAAACAGCATAATGGGTCAATGATTTCAAGGACTTCACCAATAAAACAGATTAAGCATATAGGATAAACAAAATGTTCTCATATCATTGTATTATATAATACTACTGGGAAAAGTTTAAAAGTGATCATAACAAGCATTTTTCTTTGATGATACAAGATTAAGTAGAGCTTGGCAAGCTTTTGCTATGCATCAGATCTTTAATTAAAATTACATTCCAGGATCAATTTTAACTACAATAGTGATGGTTCTGTTATAATTATCTGAGAGCAAACATGCTACAGATAATACTAAGAAAATAATTATCAATTACCATAACCCTGCTAATAAAGAACAGGTAATATGGTAAAGATTTGAAGGTAAGGTTTAAAATTATAGCCCTAGGCCCGGCTGGCATGACTTAGTGGTTGAGTGTGGACCTATGAACCAAGAGGTCAGAGTTCAATTCCCGGTCAGGGTACATGCCCAGGTTGTGGGCTCAATCCCTGGTGGGGCACGTGCAGAAGGCAGCTAATCAATTATTCTCTCATCATTAATGTTTCTCTCTCTCTCTCTCTCTCCCTTTCCTTTCCTCCCTGAACTTGATAATATATATATGTATTTTAAAAAGCACAATGAGTAAAACATTAGGAAATAGACGTTAAAACATAATGACACACCCCTCCCAGATTTAAATTATGTTCTTAATACAAGCATCATTTGATTCTCAAAATTATTCAACCCAAAGTTAATGAAATGACTCAGATTCAGAGCAACAGTTGGGTAAAATTTTTTTTTATTGGAAAACAAATATACAACTTGGAATGGATTTGAGGCAAATTGTGCCATAAGCAGATTTTCTTTAAGTGGCTAAACAAAGTTTAAAAAGCAAGTAACAATAAAAGAAAATGTTTCTGGTACAGGACCAGCAGTACAAAAAAATAGTGTACGAGTACCTGGATAATACACCCGTTTTGCAATAGTGCAACTTTTAAGTACATATTGTTGACTGTCCATAGTCCACGCAGAGTTACAACTCCACACTTCAACAACAACATGCTGACAGTTCCTAAAGAAAACTACTTAAAAAAAGGCATAACCAGATGTTCCCTCATTTGACCAACTCCATCTAAGTTTAGATGTGCAGAAGGGCTTAGATATATCCAGAGTAAGCCACATGCAACATGTTACTTGATCAATTTTCTAAAATAAGGTTTCAGGACAATAACAGTAAGATAAGGGAAGAAAACATGGAGGAATGAAGTCCTAATTACTATACATGCATATTTTTTTTGACAGTAGGGGGAACCTTTTACAGATAAGTTACAAACAAAGAAAAGGCAAATAAACAATTTTGTACAAGAAATTTAACACATTCTGTACAATATCTTCACTTTGCTGTCATCATTTGTACAAACTCTGAAAAAGAAGAAATACACAAAAAGTTGAGCCAGTCAATGGCAAAAAATCAACAAAATCAATCACATTTACTCAATCACTGAGCAATCTCTATTCCTCTTTCTTTCCTCAAAATTATAAGGAAAGCTAACTATATGAAGAAAGCTAACTAACTGCCAAAGCTGGAACTTCATAAACCAAAATTATTAACAAATAAACCCAATTAATGCTTTAGATAGCTATTATAAATAAAAAGTATTCTTGCTTAGTTTAGTATTACAAATGATACTTCTTAACCTGAAGCATATGTAAACAGTTTCAGACTAAATCTGTTAAATAGAGGAAGGGAATCCAATGAAGAAAAGAAAATCACCTTAATTTCATTTTGAGGATCCTGAAATTAAAAGTTGGAAGCACTTCAAATTGTTCCACAAACATTATACAAAAATTGTTTTAGCACATTTAGAGTACAGTGTTCTCAAACTTTAATGTGCATATAAAATCAACCACCAGGAACCCTGTTAAATTGCAGGTCCCTGGTATAGGGGTAGGACCTAATAAATAGCTCTAAAATGTTCTTGGGCAACAGGAGGTGTTGCCTAGTCTATACACACATTCTAAATAGCAAAAGGTTAGAAAATATAGTTTTAACATCTTCATGGGGTAAGGAAGTTAGTAATTTTGACCTATCAGATTACCTAGTACCTCTAAACGTAAAGTCAAAGCAGAGAATGAGATGGTGACAGTGAAAGTCTTACCTTCATAGTTTACTTGACCATCACCATCAATATCTGCTTCCCTGATCATTTCATCAACCTCTTCATCTGTTAACTTCTCTCCAAGGTTTGTCATCACATGGCGAAGCTCTGCTGCACTAATATAGCCATTGCCATCCTAGAAAAGTTATTAAAATACTTAAGATCATAGAGTTGGAATAGAAGTTTACTAAATTTCACATGAGGAAGAAAAACATACTTTAGAAATCCACACAAACTAAAGAGAATCTACAAACAACTGACCTATAAATTAAACATCACCGAGAGCCAAGCACTCTGTCTACCAAGTGATACCTGCTTTGCCACAAGATTAATGCAATACAAGTTACTAGGAGATCTGAGCTTATACTGAACTGTTATCTTCATTTCATCCTCAAGTTAAAATTTAAGAAATCCAGCCCCTGAAAACCTACCTTATCAAACACACGGAATGCTTCTCGAATTTCTTCTTCACTGTCTGTGTCTTTCATTTTTCTTGCCATCATTGTCAGAAATTCTGGGAAGTCGATTGTGCCATTACCTGAAATGGTTTGTTTCGTTGAAACATTATAATAGAATCAAATGTCACTTCAACTTCCCCCTCCCCAAAAACAAAAATTAAACAGACTTACCATCAGCATCCACTTCATTTATCATGTCCTGTAACTCTGCTTCTGTGGGATTCTGCCCAAGAGACCTCATTACAGTTCCCAATTCCTTTGTTGTTATAGTTCCATCACCATCCTTGTCAAATAGTGAAAAAGCTTCTTTGAATTCTGTTTGAGAGACCACAATCCAAATGTACAGGTTAACAACAAATAATAACCTCCTAAATGAAATGTATTAGTCAACTCTTAAAAATATATATGAAGATAACACCTGAAATGGAATTTTGATTTCTGAAGGATTTAGATGAGAAAGCCACTTGTAGCATTTTAAACATCTTTAGCTAATCATACCAGTATATGCTCACATTGATCTACTAGGAAATTTTTTTCATCTAAAATCTTACAAGGAACTGCAATATCTAGACCCTTATTATTCTGTGTTTAAAAAGGAAAAGAATCAAAACCCCAAATGACTGGCTTCTCTATTTTCTGTTAAAGCTGTTCTGTGTAACACAATTCAAAATTACAGATCTAACCTTTACTCAGAACCGAAAAATAAAGATAGTTGGTTCCAAACACATTTCTATAAAACTATACTATTTGCATTATGTTTATAATACTCCTCAAAAAAGTAAGTCTACTTCATCACCTACTAAATTAAAAACAAAAAACTTTAAACTTCAGAATAATATGCCAATGGGCTAAGTTATCTTTTCTGGAAGAGTCTATCACCAAATAGTCTATAGTACTGATGATAATGGGATGATCAAGATATGAACGGCCAGTTTTAGCTGTATTATTGAGAACAAAGATATCTTAGACCTTTCTTTACATTATATAACCCCAAACTTGTAAAAGAGTGAAATATATTATTGCCTAAAATTAAGATCTTACAAAATTGCATTACTTTTATTTCACCAGATTACATGGGAAGCTGTTGGAGCGACAGTCCACAATACCTGGCTTACCATTTATTTTACAGAGAAACTAAAGCAGAGATTAAATCTGACAGTGCGAGGTCAGATAAATGAGCTAACAAAACCTAGTACTTTTCAAGGTACTTTCTGTAATAGACCCTATCAGCAAGCAAATACAAAAACAGTCCCAAAGTTCAAGGAGCCATATGCTCTCCCAACATATCTAAAACATTTGAAAATATATACCTGATACATATTTAAGAAATGGTGTGCCTCCTCTTACAGTCCAAGTCTATTTATCCCCTGCCTGTCTATCCTTGCTCCAATCCATATACCTCAAAGTTTCATTTATCATAATCTCTTCTCTGGACTCAACCATTCTACTGATTTTGCCATTAATTATTTAGTTATCTTTATGTCTCTTTGCCTAAATCTAAACTCAAACCTTAGTGATATATATATTTTTAAGTCCCTGTCCTTATCCCTCCCCAAATTCTGGAAGGCACCACTACTCATATCTATTTCTTCTCTATCAACCAACTATTAAAATTGCTTCCAGCTCCAGCTCATCCACTGAAAATACTAGGTTCACCAGGAACGATCTAAGTGCCTAATCCAGCAAGTATGTGTCAGTCAGTATGTGAGGCCATAAAGCATAGAAACTAAAATCAGACTTTGAAACTCAACTGCTGGCTTAAAAATTCCAGCTGCACCCTGACCAGTTTGGCTCAGTGGACAGAGCGTCGGCCTGCGGACTCAAGGGTCCCAGGTTCAATTCTGGTCAAGGGCATGTACCTTGGTTGCGGGCACATCCCCAGTAGGGGGTGTGCAGGAGGCAGCTGATCGACGTTTCTCTCTCATTGATATTTCTAACAATCTCTCTCCCTTCCTCTCTGTAAAAAAAAAAAAAAAATCAATAAAATATATTTTAAAAATTGAAAAAAAATCCCAGCTGTTACTTATTAGAAATGTAACCTCCAGCAAATTAAGTTACTAGACCTTTTTTCTGCCTCAGTTTGCTCATTTTTGTTAAATAGGGATAACGTACCTAATTCCTTATTTTAAGAACAAAGTCACTACATGTAAAGCACTCAAAACTAGGTCTGGCAAGTAAGCACTTAATGAATGTTAAGAGAATGATGATCTCATTTTCCTGCAGTATCCAAAATTATACTAAAAAAAACCCTCAAACTTCTCTTGGCCTCCACAATAGTACTTTAATTTATATCCTATCTTACAATGCCAAAGGTTTTTGGCTCCTACTTGTTTCTTCCAAGTATATGTGACTAACTCTCTCATCCTTTCTTCTCTCCTTGGCCATTCATTTCATCTATGCCCACTTATAATGATGATTTCATGTCTTAGTATAATACACATCTCTCTCAACATAATATCCTTTATTTCTGACTTCCTACAGGACAGACATCTCCTCTGGCTGACCTACAGCAAGAAAACTCTTCCCCTAAAATCTGTCAATAAGTCCTGTTGAACTCTGCTGTTTAAATACTACTGGATTATTTTTTCATCACTACAACCAATAATGGCACCATCACCTTTTGCCTGGACAATCATGATAGCCTTCTACTTGGGTTCTTTATACCTGCAACCCAGGTATGTGCCCTTGACTAGGAACAGAACCTGAGATCCTTTGGTCCTTGAGCCGACGCTCTAACCACTGGCCAGGGCCTATTTGCCTTTTTTGATTACCATGTTACTTGTTTCTGCTTATTCTACTTAAAATCTTTGAATTGCTTAGTTTAAATCAGATATCACTGCATTTTAACAGAATTTCATTCATTTAAATCATACTTGTTTTTAGAGGAAATCATCCGATACCAGATGCTTAGTACCAAATTACTCATTGATGTTATGAAAATAGTATTAGATCAATCCAATGACAAAAATAGATCAATAAACCCCACAAATAGCAGAATTTGATGAAAACATTTCTAGCTTATGTTTTTTTAAAAAACAGGATGTAGAAATAATGACTAGAAATATACAAACCATTATTAGGGTTTGAACACATAGCACCTATCACCTAATAACTTAGGCTACAAGAAAATGAGAGGACTTGGAGAATTGTAATTTGTTTACACTACATTCTCTGCTGTAATACTTAGCTACATTTAACACGACCATTATATGCGAAATTCGCAATGTGTATCTATAATTACTTTACTACTAGAGGCCCAGTGCACAAATGGAGGTGGGCCCTCTCACAGTCGAGGACCCCTCAGGAGCGGGCCTAAGTAGGCAGTCGGACATCCTCCGAGGGGTCCTTAGCGCTGTTGTGGAGGCTGGAGAGGCTCCAGCCACTGCTGCTGCACTCCCTAGTAGAGAGCCCAGCTTCTGGCTGAGCAGGGCTCCCCCTGTGGGAGCACACTGACCACCAGGGGACAGCTCCTGCACTGAGCATCTGCCCCCTGGTGGTCAGTGCGCATCATAGCGACCCATCTTTCCGCCATTTGGTTGATTTGCATATCAGGGTTTTATTATATAGGATATGATTTAACTTAAAGCCAAATTCTGGAAGATGCATAGTATTAATTTATGTGTGTATTCTAAGTTTCAATAAGTCTTAAAATCTAATAACTCTTAAAGAGCCAGAAATACCTGTAAAAATTCCTTGAAATAATAAACTCAAAAGTACCATTTAAATTCACCTGCCTGTATAGCTCACCACCTATACTTCAGAACTAGCATAATCTTCATGTACAGAAGCATGTCATTCCAAACAGTAATTCTCAGGAATGACTTCAAATATAAACCCAGTACTAAATACACAATAAGAAAACAACAGGTCCTGAATGTCACACAGAACAGCTATCTTCAACACAATTGATAGGACCTTCCTCTAAATCCATTCTAGTTATATCTAAGTTGAAATTTTCAGGAAACTTATTATTTAAGTTTTATGTGTTCATCAGCAACCCCAGGACCCTTTTCCAATTATTTATATCACATAAGTTTATAATTTTATTAAAATAGGTTATCAATAAACAATTACAACTAAAGAAAAATCAAATGCCTACTAACTTTTATGTATTTAGTTTAATCCCTTGTTGGCACTCTGTAATTGTTATAAACTGAGTACAGTTAGTATATTTTATCAACCAAGTTTTATCCCTACATTGGACCTTGACTGAAAGGTTCAATGACAGTTTAGGCACAAATTTCTTTTAAAAAGAAAAATTCTTGTTACATTTTTTTATTAGTCCTCTAAATATCAACTACTAATGACATCATGGCAGAGTCAAATAAAATTAACTTGTGAAATCACACTAAGACTGTTCCAGATTGCTCTTTAAGACTAAGTAATGTAAACAATTCTAGTAACCACCTAAACAACAAGCACACTTTTTTTTCTATACCAAGTTATTTGCTATTAAAATCTCTAAATAAATCTGAAGTAGTAATGATTGTCACATAAAGATAAAAAATAGCTTTTAAAAGTACTTTAGTATATTCAATGCTGCATTACATGTATGAAGCTTAACATTCAACAAGCAAGTCTTAGATGCTAGAATGTTACTGGTCACCAGTGATTATAATTTACCAGATAAAGACAAAATCTGTGTTTACCTCAAAGGTGGACATTGAAACATACCAAATTTAGGAAGGGATTTTTGGAAGAAGCAGAATAATTCTTAGGATAGGGTAAGGTAGTGTTCTAGAACACTTTTTATGTCACAGTCCTCTTTGAAAATAAAACTTATTCCTTCAAGAAATATTCACTCAGTCCTTACTATGTGGGAATCACTGGGAATACAGAGAAAACAAAAAGGTCACTGCTCTCACAGGATTTTTATTAGCAGCATAAAAGCTTTGGTTCCTCTAACCTAAATGTTCAGAGGTTTATTAAAGCCTGGGGTCTAAAGAGCACCTTTAAAAGTCTAGGAAAAGGCAGGGTAGGGAGAGAATCTACAATATATTTTCCTCCATTCCCACTTGAAATTTAATTGTATGATGGAAGTCAATGAAATGACAGAATTTCTCTTAAAGACAATATTCCAATGAACTACAACTATTCTTGATAAAAATGTTATAACAGTCATTGAAGATTCTTATATCTCACAGATACAATCTTTCTTTAAAGAGGCGCGTGTGTTTGGGAAGGCAATAATGAGCACCAACTCTGTGACAGGCACTTTGACTAATACATTTTCTACCTTAAAGTGAACATTTTGTGCTGTGTACAATAGGCATAACTACCTAACTGGGCAGAGAGGGAGGCCAGATGTATCAGAGAATGTAAGAGTTTAAGAATGGAAATATTAGATAGCCCAGAGGTCAGTTCCTGAAGGATATATTAAAAACTATTTCAGAGTAATTTTACATTGATACATTTAAAAATAATATAAACCAACATGCAATTTACCAACCCTAGAAAGCAAATCCCAGGTTTAAATCAAATCCACACAGCAAGTAAAAATAAAACCTGCATAAATTTTGTCCTTAATGCTAATAGCTTTCTACCTTACATAATCCTATCAAATAATATTCATGATGAATATTTGAGATTAGTGATGTCTGGCTCCTCTAAATTTGTTTATAGGGGTGGTTTTATTTACTTTATTTACTTTAAATGGGCTATACAGTTGAGTTCTAACTGTGTTTCTCAGTTTTCTCTAGCATTAAAAATTGCTTCAGCCCAACCAGGGTGGCTCAGTGGTTGAGCACTGACCTATGAACCAAGATGGCTCGATTCCCAGTCAGGGCACATGCCTGGATTTTGGAATTTCAGGCTCGATCCCCAATGGGGGTGTGCAGGAGGCAGCCGATCAATGATTCTCTCTCATTATTGATGTTTCTATCTTTCTCCCTCTGCCTTCCTCTCTGAAATCAATAAAAATATTTTTTAAAAATGCTTCAGACCCTGACTGGTTTGGCTCAGTGGATAGAACGTCGGCCTGTGGACTGAAAGGTCCCAGGATGGATTCCAGTCAAGGACATATACCTTGGTTGTGGGCATATCCCCAGTAGGAGGTGTGCAGAAGGCAGCTGATCAATGTTTCTCTCCCATCAATGTTTCTGACTCTCTATCCCTCTCCCTTCCTCTCTGTAAAAAAATTAATAAAATATGTTTTAAAAAAATGCTTCAGTGTTTCTGAGCACTTCAAACTCCTTGCCTACCAGGAAAATTGTAGCAGTTAAAACTGCTTGATGCTTGTGTTAACAAAAGCCTCTAATGTGAAGTAAAAGAATAGAATTTGAAAGACATTTCAATATTGCATAAAAAAAGCAAAACTTTAGCAAGTTTCCAAAACATTTTAATGTTAATCAGACATCTCAAATATTAGAATAAAATAAAAAATACTAATGTTTAATGGTATGGCATAAAGACAACATGACATCAAGTTTTCTGTAACAATTTCACATATTTCCAAAGCAAACCAAAGGAGACAAGATTTAAGAAGCTCATTTAAATAGCTGTCACTACTTTATAAGACATAATTACATGTGTAAAATAGAATGCTAACCTTTAGATCTAGGTTTTTCATTGGAAAAATGGGTTATTCCCTGACTGTATATGCAATTCTAAGGTTAAAATACTAGCTATTTTACAATGGCGTAAATTCAACGTTCATCTTCTGATTCTACATTTCAAATTACCTATTGGTTACATGATGTGGCCCTCTTGTAGAGACTGATTTGGAGTTACAGTATTAAAAACTGCTTAGAATTCATGTTTTAAAGTAAGATAACCAACAACAACAAAAGACCACCTCCTGGCTCCAAACATGTCTAAAAACAGCCTAAAAACATGCCTTTAATTAGTTAGCCCCACACATCTTTCTCAGGCAAGTTTACCTTTTCACTTGCCAAAGCAGGTTCAATTACTGTATTACATTACAGCCATTTGCTATGTACTATATAGATCAAAGTCAATTTTTTCATACAAGTATCTTATTTTGGATTAGCTATTCAGTTTATAATAAAATCCAACGGGTACAATCAGGCAAAGTATTTCTCACCTGCAATCTGCTCTTCAGTCAGTTGGTCAGCCTACAAAGAGATCAAGAGATAGATAAGTGACTTGAGACTATGTAGGTTAGCAATTACAAAAACAAGTTTTAAAAGTTTTTAAAGTTTGGCATGTACCATAAACTTCATTTAGTTCAACATTTCTTAGTATCAGCAATAAGCACAGGGTAGGTGGAAAATGCATACATCTGGTTTACATTCAAAGTTAAACAGTCTTGACCCCAAATTTAAGATAAGGAAAGTATTTCAGAGTATGTTTGAAAGTAAATTTTACACAAATTGGAAAAAAAACACAAAAAACATTTGGAATACTAAAAAGTTTAATTGGAGTTTTTCTAAATTAAAGATAGAATCCAACAGAATCATTGTTTCCTTTTTCAAAATTAGCATACCTCAACTTAAGCTCACCTCCTCTGGTAGATATAAAATTATTACCAGAAATCTCCATTGAACCAAAAATAATGCCCAAGGACTATAGTCAAAATTGCCCCCATAAATGGCTAAAACACATCATTTGGACATAAAAGTAATTTTCCAAATCTCAAAATGAAGCAAAACTCCCATTATTAAAAAGATTAAGATCTACAGTCTTGGATGGGGCAACATGAAAGCTACCAATTTTTACTCCTCTTCACCTGCCAGGCAACTGCAGAGAATGCAGGATTCTGAACACTTGAATTACATTATTTACCAAATGTTAAGTAAGTCTAGCCTCTCATCTTCTCTTGACTTTTGAAATCCCAAAGTGAGCCTAAGGTTTGTGATGTCTTTAGCACATGGAGAAAGTTACTGGTTCTTGCTTTTTTAAAAAACAAACAAACCTATTTTCAGGCATTTGCAAAAAACATTTTATATGTTGTTCTTATTCAGTTTTATAGTAACCAAACAATGGTGTTCTTATTCCCTATCTTACAAAAGGGGAAAGAAGGACTCAGATTATATTTCCGGGAGTGGGAATATAGTATTAGTTAGCTAGTAGAGTGAGGATTAAACATTAAGGTGTTAGACATATCCAAGTTTAAAATTCAGAGCACATAATATATAAGGATATTTGCAAAATATCAAGGCTTTGTTCTTCATGTGTCCTTCATCTTTAGACATTTCTCTGCTTATCAGTATACATACCCATGAAACAACTGTTTATGTGGTTCTGGGAGGCACTGACAAGAAATAGCCTCCTATCTAGTATGTATACCTACATGAAGTCAAACATACTATGATTAATCCATTCATTTTTGGTATGAAAATAAAAGCACTGCCTGGTTTCATTCTTTTTAAGTAAAAAGACTCCCAGAAAGGGTAACACCTTAATGTAGAATAGTATCACATTTTCTCTAGGGGACAGCATGAGAATATTTGAGAAACAAAGCAGACGTTTCTTTACCTGCTTGCTTTGATCTCAATGCAATCAACTCATTTCCATTCTTAAAAATTAAAAAGGAAAAAAAGCCAAGGGCCTGATAATTAAAATTGAAGAGCAAATAATTAAGTTCAAATGCAGAAATTTATAAAATAAATTATCTCCAGCAATCCGGTATAAAATCAGCCAGATTGTTTTCCCTAGGACAAAGATTTAAAACCCAGTAAATCCACTGAGTTGTTTCCTTTGTTAGAGGCTATAGGGATGGGGAATGTCAGGCCCGAGAAATCATTTGGTATGGCCATGCCAAGGCATTAGGGGTGAGTTAATTAAATGTTTAACCAAATACAGCAGGTTAATTTTTAAGTTGATAATTTTATATGGCCCACGAATAATGTCGTAAGTATCCAAATGACCTTTGGCAGAAAAAAGGTTTCCCACCCCTACGAGGATTTACTTCTAGTCTGATTTCATTTTGCAGGATTTCTATAATTTCTGAAGGAAGGGCAATATGGTAGGGTGCAGGAAAAAGCATAGTGCTTTGAGTCATCATTGGGCTAGTATCCCAGCTTTGCAACTTAATAGCTGTGACACCTTGGACACGTTATTCAACCTCTAAATCAACTTCACCTGTTAACACAGTAATACCTACCTAACAGGGTTATTGTGTAGAGTAAATCAGAAGCTATGTCAAAGGCTAGCCAAAAGAGTTTAGTGATAATTATTTTACATAAATAAATCAAAGAACCTACAATGTTAACTATCAACCTAACTAGTTCAACTTCCACACAGAAAGTAAACATGCACAGCATTATCAAGACCTTTACAACAAACCTACCATGTTTCATGTTAAACTTAAAGCTGAGAAAATATATTTCCACAAACTGAAACCACCAGCTGAAGTCCAGGGACAGATGTGGAAGGCAATGTAGCATGTATGAAAGCTGATGGATTGATGGGCTATGTGCAGAATGGTAGACACTGGGTTTGTTCTCAAAACATGGTTGGGGGAAGATTTGGGGGAAACTCGTTTATAAGAAAGCTTAAGGCCTCAAGAAGAAACAAAGATGTTAGCTACAAAAGAAAACAAATTTTTCAATTTTCTTTGAAAAGTCCAAATTTAATGGTCCCACACCATCTTGTCCAACTCCCTACCTCTAGGCAAAGGTAATCTTAGAAAAGATCACAAATAAGCTTCAAGGAATAAACTAAGCACATGGGAGCCTAAGTTACTCACATAACCTAAAAGCACTGTGTGATTTTTGTTTGGAGTGTTTCGAGAAACTTAGAGACATTTTTCATATTTACTACTAACCCAGAGTTCAAGGTTTTAAAGTAATCTTTATATCAAACAAATCTTTATATTAAACAATTCAGATTAAAACCTACTAAAAGCAGAAACACAACACTTCCTAGCATTCTAATTTGTAAGCCTTTCCCAACTACACCGAATCAATTTGTTTCTTATTTCTGTCTATGGAGAGTGACATTTTCTTACTTAGAAGAACTACAAGAATTATACTTTTGGGAAAACTCAAGCTCAATAACATGTGTATTTATCTCAGTAAAGAATAATTCACTAGAGAGCTGACTAGTTCTTACTCTATTTCTACACTTTATATAATTCTTCCTACTGCTCTTGTCATGCCAGAGAAAGCTTCCAGGCATTAGCATACTCTCAGGTTCAAAACCACAGGTGATTTATTCACCTATTGAGAAACACTAATCTAGACTAGGTGTGACCTGAAGTGAATGCATTATGTACCTATTAAATATTTCCTAAATGGCTCTCAAAAGTAGGTATGGGTAGGTACTCTTGGAGCTCACCTAGTGAAAGGTTTTATACAAATGATCCAAAATTCTTATCTAAGTAAATGGATGAATCCATAGGCTTGAAATGGCACACAAACTTCTAGCCTTCATTCATTCCTGTTTCTTCCAAGTCCTACTTAGATATAAGCTTCATAATTAAAATTTTCCTACAACTTCAGAATTGTTTTTTACCTATATAAAAAGCAGTCTCTAAATTAGCTCAATAATTATATCAGTAATACTGGTAGAACAGTACTTACTATATAGCATCTTGAATTAAAAAAAAAAAGAACCCATCAAATTACTTTATAAAAATTAGGACCTTTACCAAGGGCCTAATTTGATCATTCTAGCTGAAATCTAGAATTTCCTGCATTTTAATAGAGCCATAGTGAATTTCCTCAGTCTAACAGAAATAGATCTCCTTGCAGTTTGATGGAATAATGATTACTTATTTAGACAAATGACAACATTTTCTACCTTTTCACATCTTTTATTTATCTAACCGCCCCAGCCCTTAAGTCTTCTTAAAGCACTCCCCCCTTCAAAGAGCATATATCAACTATATGTAAACCTAAGAGCTATGTGAGCAATCGTATTCCACTTTTATATAACTTTTTTTCTTTTAACTTGTCAGAGTTCTAACTTTAAATCTCCAAGTCTTATAAAGAGGACAATTTCCAAATTAAATAATTAATGATGACTCAATTTAACAAACAAAAAACCCCCAAAGCATCAATGGTGCAAACAGTAACTTAAAAGTTTATCATGGGCAAAGAACCAAGAAAGCATAGATAAACTCTACCCATCACCAAAGGAAAAAAACCTATTCCAGTGTTTGTTTTCAATTATACTGAAGGGGGAAAAAACAACACCACCAATCTTACCCTTCATTTAAAAACATTTAAAAATTTACCTCACAATTAAGAACTTCGATTACATGCCTATAATGTACTTTCACCTAAAATAGTAAGTTCAACCAGCATATACAAACTCATAATAAAATAACTTAAAAAATATCAGTATGGAACGAGTGCATCAAACTTAAACGAGCACTAGTTTTAACCAAGATGAAGTCCTTTCCCCACACCCATTAAGGCTGAAGGTTTCAGTTGGCAAGGATTTCCAACTCTTGTTTAAGATGTCACCTTGCCTCCTGGACACACCCATCGCTGTAATTACTTGGCAGAAGGAACCACGAACTAAGTACTGCAAATTACCGCCCTCATTAGACTTTTTTAAAAACAGAAGTTCTGGTCTCAAGTGACAGGAAAACGCTTTTTAAAATCCCCTGCCCTCCAATACTCTTCTATGATACTCCGGTATTTGACGACCATTATTGCACAAATGAACTGAACAACTGAAGATGATCTGGCAACTTCTGTAGGGAAATAGGAGTGATCCCCAAGAGGACCGGAGCGGGGGCAAGGCTGCTGCGTGGTCGTGGTTCCCCGACATAGGAGTGCACGTGATTGCTCAAAAATAGGACATACCAGTCAGTGGCCCTTTTCAAAAGCATCCTTCCAGTTGTTACATGAGAACAAGACCGACTTTCACAACAGTCGCCGCGGAGCCTGCTTTCCGTAGGTGGCAGGGTAGATAGAAAACGCCTTTCACCTAACCCGGGCCGAGGGCTTTCTCTAACAAGATGCGTACTTCGGGGACGCGCCCGACTTCCGAGATACAAAGATCATTTCCTCCAACGATAAAGCCACTTAAAAATAATTCTTATTTTTAAATGTCCAGCCTGGATAGTGGAAAAAGGCCCCAGAACCCAGATGGGGGAAAAAATCTGCATTCACCGAGCTTCCTTCTCGCCTCCGGGGGGGGAAGGGGGGGAGCTTCTGGAGGGCCACCTCTTCC